TTGAGAGCCACGCTGCTGTCTGTTGAGATCTGTGTCGCAAGTTGGCGCTGGATAGGAACAGATGATGATATGCAAAGAACTGAAGAAGTCGATCGCCATTATCTGTTCGCTGGCCGGGAAGAGCACAATAACCGTCTAAACAAGCTTCCGATGCGCTCGGTTTTCCAACTTCAGCGTTAAAATCATCTGAGTGAACAACTATATCGGAGCTTCGGCTCAACCGAATGAGTTCGGTAGGTTCATCGTAAAACTCTTCCTTTTGTGCGTCAGAACTGCAGTTGGTCGGAGCATACGCTGAAATCATGAATGAACACCTTTTGGTTTTGCTGCCCTTCTGGATGCTGATAAACCCTTGGAGCCGCATCGCACATAAGCGGCTGTTAACGGGGATCCAACCGAGTAGTGTGGCTTCGGCTGTATTATTCAGTACAATGCCCACACCACGCAGGCCTACTGAACGGGCTTCGTCATCACCCGACGTGCGGAGGAGGTACCTCGAAGACACAGCTCCGGTGCACCTAAGTGGATTATAGTAGTAGGATCTTGGATTCGTGTCTCTGATACACAGCAAACATCAATTTCCAGAGAGTCCATTGTGCGCGCCAAACATGCTTGTTGACCTAACTGTATCAGAGTCCTCACGTTGAAAGCCCCAGGTTCAGTGGCTGACGAGGCTTCAGAATCTGTTATCTATTTTGTGGTNCAGAACTGAAGAAGTCGATCACCATTATCTGTTCGCTGGCAGGGCAGAGCACAATGACCGCCTAGACAAGCTTCCGATGTGCTCGGTTTTCCAACTTGAGCGTTAAAATCACCTGAGAGAACAACTGTTTCGGAACTTCGGCTCAACCGAATGAGTTCGGTGAGTTTATCATAAAACTGATCTTTCTGTGCGTCAGAACTGCAGTTGGTCGGTGCATACTCTGAAATGACGAACAAACACCTTTTGTTGTTGCTTCCCTCTCGGATGCTGATAAACCCTTGGAGCCGCATCGCACATAAGCTGCTGTTGACGGAGATCTAGTCGAGTAGTGCAGCTTTTGCTGTGTTATTAAGTGCAATGCCCACGCCACGCAGGCCTACTGAACGGGCTTCGTCATCACCCGACGTGCGGAGGAGGTACCTCGAAGACAGCTCCAGTGCACCTAAGTGGATCATAGTAGTGTCTCTGATACACAG